ATATGGTTTTATTCAAACCCTTTTTTTTGTTTTTTTGTTTTTTTGTTTTTTGTTTTTTGTTTTTTTTTTGTTTCTTTTTTGGTGTTTTCACTCAATTCTCCCTTTGGACTAATATGAATTTGGGGCTCAGTTCTGAGTGGTTAGTTTCCAATCCCCTTCCAATTGTTGTTGTGAGGAATTCAAAACGCGGTCCTTCCTATCACTACACCAACAACCAATTGGTATTATACATAAAACTTTAATTAGTTATTGTATGAGTCTATATGGCAAGAAGCAATTCTGTTGTTTAATCGATGCCCTAAACAATGCAAGCATGAATTCACGCCCTTATTTATAACCAATGAATATTAAGGCTTTGTCAGTATTTGATTGGTACTAACAACGCACTAATTAGTACTACGTACTTCGTATTAATAGTGGTCGATGATACCTATAATGGTTGATTAAGCAGACGAAAGAGATATACCAATGAAGTATTATGGACAAAAGACACTTCCTCGTTTAAATTGCGTAGCAGACTTTACATTTCTCTTTTACTTTAATTTTCTTCTTAGTATATAGGATGTGAAAATGGAATCTCGAATTCTTTAATAATCTAAAGGCAAAAGAATCGTGAATTGCGGGAATGAACATAATACAATTCCGGTTAGGCCGGCTTCTGGCGTTCAAAATATTCATTTATGAAAGTGAGTGGGCACAAGAAGACATTTTAATTTATTTCCCATAATCATTTGAGAAGAGTGCTTGCTTGACAATGGTCTTAATATTTACGATACTCTCTTTTATTTCATATAATAATTCAAAATCTTATAGGGATATATAGTATTTTTTGTTTTTTTGTTGAAATATGGATATATTATATTGCAGTAGGTGATTAAATGCTGAGACGCTATAGTTAAATTGCTTCATTTCGTACTATAATTATTTTAAGATGCAAATAATGAAAAGCAGTAATTTCATAAGTTTGCTATTATTAATAAGCTGATGATCGAATCGGGAATGGGTTCGCAAAGCACATCAAATTGCTAATCTTTGTCGTACTTAGTTTTATTCTTTTTTATTTGTTGTAATTTCTTATGTTTAGTTATAACAAAAAAAAAAAAAAAAAGAAAGAAAAAAGGTTGGTCAAATTGTAGAATTTTTTTTGTCCATAAATCAGAATTACCTTATTATTTAGGGTTTAAATAAGTACATAAAATCACCCAAAATTATTTGTCCACAATATAGTTAGTTGGGCATTCATATGGAGCATGTGGATTTGAGATTCTCCTTAGACAACATTACAACACAATCACAACAAATTAGACGAAAAGAATTCCAACACAAAACTATTCGAATTAATCATAGTGCATTTACAATAAAATTGCATGAATTTATTAATAAAAAGCTAAAAAGGGAACTGCACTTTGTTTATTATGCTTCTTACCAATATCTTAGTTTGTAATATCTTAGAATTTTTCGAATGTACTTTAACACTTTATGCCATTTTTCGTCGGTTGCAATCTTGTTTTTTGTTAGTTAGTTGTTACTTTTGATTAATTAGTATGTATAATTTGGTTGATTTGCTGAAAATAAAGGGTTATAACTGCTCCAGGAAAACATTGTATGTATTGTGGATTCCGAGTATAACTTTCCACGAATGTTCTGCATGCACATGCTCAGAGTTTATCAACTATATTTCGGAGTACTCTATTATACGACACACTATATATCTGTGTATTATAGTATGACCCAAATATATTTGGTGATGAACTTATTATGACGATAATGAAACTTCATTCCCAAGCAATGTATTGATATGTAAACGATAAACCACATAGTTTTGTTTCAAATGAGGGGAAGACATTTAGTATTGTTTTTACACATTTGTATCTTTACACGTCTAAACAGTACAGCTTACACCTCAAAATTAAATCACATGACAATAGGAGCAGCGTAGCCCCTTAACCTTACAAATGACAATCAGTCCTCTCTTCTGTTATAGATGTGGGATACTCACATCACATGAGTTGTAAAGAAAGATTACGCTCCAACACGGGTGGAGTATAACGAAGTATGAAATATCGCCAATAGAATTTATCTTATACATTAGAAGAGGCGGCCAGGCGGCTGTCTATGCCTGTCAACATCGTATAATCTTTCAAACTCCAGAAATCAGAATATTTTATGGATTCCAAAGAATTGTTCACGTGTAGTTTAGAGAAGATCCACGTAGTCTTTCCAGCACAACATCTTCCCTTTATACGTATAATCGATTATTTTATACGGAGTATTTAGTACTTTTATAGTATTAGACTATTAATAGTATCTTTATATTATGATCTTAGCTTGATGCTAATCAAAAGGTTGGTTAATTATTGATACCTAGATATTGTCTTCTAGCACCCGACTTATCACACTATATAATAATTAAGTCCTCTAATTTCTCATTAATTTATTCAAATTACAAATCTATATATAGTAATCACACATATAATAGCATAACACTTAAATTCGTTCATGCATGCTAATATTCCCCATTTTTAGTGACATTAATTACACTTCAAATATACTTACAACATGGTTGTAATATTTGTAAAAGAGCTAAAACAAACTGATATTGAACATAGGCTTTCCTGGCCAACTGACAGTTTAGGTCACTTACCTACTTTCAATGGTGGGAACCAGGTGAATTTTGAAGTCGTAGATGACACGGGCCGAAGATGGTCTTTTCGCTGCTCAATAAGGAGGACTGGTCCTTATGCAAAGCCTGTGATCACGTCTGGATGGCTCGATTTTGTTAGGGCCAATAGCCTTGAGAGCGGTGATACGATCATTTTCTACAAGGATCAAGTACCTGACCGTCAACCTACCTATAGGGTTCGGGTGTTCCCAAGAGGAGCACCAATTCCCACAATTTTTTTGTTTGGTTACCTTGTTGCATGAACATGTAACATGTTATGTGTGAAATGGTACGTACGTACATTTCATCATACTTCCTTGCTCTACCTTTTTCTGAAGAGGTTTAAATTAAACATTTTCTTAATTGTAAGGTGTTTCTTTGCAAGATAGCTTTAGCAATACAGTAAAACATCTGTAGTAGTTTAATTAGCTAGGGATATTTGGTAACTTTTGATGGTAAATGCATGGAATGATTTTAACCGTGTATATATGTTTTATTCGTGAATTACAGTTATGTTGTTACAAATTTCATGGATTCAAGAAGATGCATGTCAAATTCGCAAGCAGATTAAGTTCGTCGTATGGAATGAGAGATAATAAGCCATGACAAATTCGAAGTAAATTATATTTGTTGTATGTATACTCTTATGGAATGAGGAGGTAAGAAGCCATCACAAGTTTGCAAGCAGATTAAAGGGACAAATAAAACCATGCATTTATGCCTAAAGCTTGTATTTAATGCATGTCTAAAATACTCCAGCAGATGATTAAGTTGTCGTTGTAAAGTTCCTCCCTCAAGGGAACGTGTAACAGTACACTCTAATGTATGTAAATGTATTGGGAATTCGTAAATATGAAGCTCTCGTCTCTAATACTCCATTCATTATCTATCCGTTCCTTTTTGTTTGTTTTACGTATATTTGGTATGTGTACCATAGTAATGACCGGTCATATTTGTATTATTGATTAAAATATTAGAAAATTTCCATTCATGCACATTGAAATTAGGAAAAAAAAAAACAAAAACAAAATTTACAAAGTTGCATAGAAAGTCATTACCAATAATATACTACAGAGTATTAATGTCTTCCACTGTTGTCTCACAAGAAACACAATCATTCTTACGCTTATCAAATAGGCAAAATTGGTCTCAACAGCACGAACTTTTAACTAGGTGTATGTAACAGTATGAACTTTGACTAGTAGCTATGATAACGCAAACTTTTTCATCGGGTGCATAAAATATCGAAAATGAAACTCAGCACCAGAGATTTTGTTGGAGATAGGATATCTTTAATATTTTATAAAAAAATCATCTTGGATTGCATGCCTTGATGATTTGCATGCGGGAAAAATGATCAAATTAAACAAGGTTTCGGGGACCATTATAGTTCGTAAGGGTCAATTCGAGATCAAATTTAGCAAAATAACTGATAGAACAATGTATACTACAAGAGGGGGGGTGAATTGTAGTGTATGTAGACTATGGTAAATTTTGCGGAATTAAATCTACTACTAAGAGAAAAGACACTGAGATAGGCAATGAATAAATTCACTATGTAAAAATGATTTACAATCACTAATACGTTGCCTAGACACAAGTTCCGTGAGGAACTCAAATTACCCAACTGTGATCCCTCAATCACAGTTTCTCACACTTTGTGATTCTACTCCGAATCACTTGTACAGTGTAAACAACTCTCTCAAGTCTCACACTTTACAACTCTCACAACCCAAACCCAATTACACAATGATTACAAGTATTTCCTAAAGAACTTAAGAGACTAAGGATGGAAGGAACTTCTCTTTTAAACACTTTGAAACTCTATGCTCAGAATACTTAAGATTGTTTTTCCACACTTTCAAAACTTAACGTTGATCTGTTTTTATAAGGAGTTAAACCAAGCTTCCATCAAGTTCCCACTTCCCCCTTAATCCCACATTCTCTTTGACTGAGAAGTTGGGATGTAGGCAGAGGAAATTTAGGAACATGATTTCCCTAGCTTGACTCCTAAATTCAACATGCTCCTTAATTTAAGCAGCCAATATTTACCAAGTTAAAAATTAGTTAAAGACTTATTCAAAAGATAATTATTATTTGTTAAAAAAAATAATTATTTATTTATTAATTAAAAGATAAATAATTAATTAATTTAAAACTTATCTTTTTAAATTAATGAATTATTTATTTATTTATAAAATCTTTTTAAATCACTACTACATTTTTTATCAAATGCAACAGCTAAAATTAGGCTAATGCAACGACTACATTGATTACTGTTGCATTAGCATGGTCTAATACATCAGCTGGTTAATAGTAGAGTCTAACACAACGGTTGTGAGTTTGCCGTTGCAATAGAGCGGTCTAACGCCACGGCCATTAGGATTATACCCTTTTTATTACTGTTCCTTTTTTCTTTTTAGGTTCTTCACAAAAAAATAGAAAACCTAGAATTGCTCTCTGCCTCTCTCTCTCCTCAAAATCTTAGAACAATCTGATAACCTCCTTCACTCCTTGTTCGCTGCTCCACCGCTACCGTCGCCGTCGGCTGGCTTCTTCCAATCTTTCGTTCTTCGCTGCCTCACACCTTAGTCCTCACCGGCCTCCTGTAGTCCAGTAGATCGACCGTCGCCCATGACCCGTCGTGCCTCATTGCCTCACAGGATCTCGGCCGTCGTTGCTGCCACACCGTCGGCCGTCTTCGATGCATCAATGGTATGTCTTTATGTCTTATACTCTTAATTAATTAATTTAGTATATCTTGCTCTTATAATCGAAATCCCTAATTTGAAATTTTGATGTTAACCCTATTTTTCAGATTCTAATGTTTCAATTGTAATAATAAACAAGGTCAATTGCTTATTATTCGATTTTAATCCCCAATTTTAATCTTTGATTTTTTGTAGTCTTCTTCTCCTTTCAACCTTTTATCTCTTTCCTCCTAATCTTCACAAAAATCAGGTACCTAATTCTTCCTTATTATTCTCTATTTTGATTTTTTCATGTAATTTTTTTTTTCTTTAAATTTTGATTGTTATATGCAGTGGTTTTTGTTAATTGTATAACTAATTTATAATAAATTTGTTGTCTTGATTGTTATTTGTTAATTGTATAACTAATTTATAATAAATTTGTTGTCTTGATTGTTATTTGTTAATTTTAATATTCATCAGAATTTTTTGATGAAAGTTGCAGTTTCTGGTATTTTTCGTGATTTACTGTCGAGTTTTGAGTCTATTTGATCAGCTCGTTGTCCTATAGCTTGCGAATTCTATGGGATTATAATGATATAAGTATCTGGATGTCAATACTATACTTATTGGTGGTGCATACCTTAAGTATTTACAGAATCTGTTTCTATGTTCTTTTGTTTGTTTACATTATTTCACAGAATCTCTGAAACAATAGGGATTGATAAATGTCGTAACTGTAAAGGATAATGATATCATCAACATCATTATCCCTTAATTTACTCCTTGATTTACACATAGGTTGATTGTCAAAGATTTCCCTAACTATTGTCTAATAATGTACCTAGACATGTACTCTAATGTATTTAGTCGTAGTCTAATGCTTACATACTTATCTACTATAAATAATCTTGTATACTCTTCAATATAATTAAGATTTCCAATATTCTCTTTCTCATAATTCTATCAATAACTTGGTTTTATGTCCTATGTATTAGTGACTACTGTCCAATAAACTCAATACATTCTTAATTTATTGAGCTTCTTACTTGTCACGTAACTGAGAAATTTTTCTACAAACAAGTGCAAATGAATGTGGTCAATATACTCATACTTAGGGTACCAGCCTCAATATTGACTATTCTGCTGTCTAGCAGCTAGAAGACCAGAGCACCAACATGTAATACTCAGGTAAAGCGGGGTAAAAAATCGAGGACAACCTACAAGAAATGATCTAATGAAACTTACACTAACTAATAGCTACACCTACTCCTAACAACAATATTACTTGAGAAATTCCAAGATATCCCACAATTCCACAAAAAGCTATTGTGGAACAGGGAAAAAAAAAAGGCTTTGATTAATTAAGGATGAATTATAAGTATATCCTTTTAATTTTATTGTTTATTGTTAATAAATTCCTTCTCTCAAGTTTTGTAAATGGATGGAGGGGATTACATTAACAGGTAGTTGTAGATTATAGTATAAACTTTAATCAGTTTTAAGTTTTTTCTTTATTCTAATTATCTTTCAACTCTTTTGATCTTTTCTATTTTATAACTGCTACCACTATGAATTTGTTTGCCTACTTTGTCTCCAAGTAGCTTAGAAAAGCTTAATTGCAACATGATAATAAGTTTATAAACTAAGTGACGTTGCATTGTTTACTACAAACTCATGTCGAGCTATTTATGGTTAACGTCTTTTTATTTATTTAACCAAGGAGTATCTCATTATCTAAATAAGATATAAAAAAAATTACAATTATTCATCTCTTGAAGCTTGGTATGCCCATGGGGTTGCTGAAGTCATTTTGAGTAAGAGGGGAAGGGAGGGAGGTGATTCCCTCATTTGCCTAAAAATTTGTTAGTGTAAGTTTTAATATGTTAGACCCTTAAAATTTATTTTTGGAGTATTTTATAGCTTTGATTTGATTCGCACGGTCTAATGTCGATTTTTATTCATTTATGCATGATTTTGTGAATTAATTTGAGTGATAGGTGGTATTGTAATTGACTATGATTTGAGCTAATTTGAATTGGTAGATTGGTTTTGGGAAATTGGGTTTAAAAGTTTATGGTGTAAATCTAGAATGTGATTATAAATTTTTGTTGTAGCCTCCATTGTTATTGTTGTAGTTGTTATTATTGATATCTAGCCTTTAATATTGATATTGTTGTGGGTGTTGTTGTCTCTGCTGCCTACTGTTCTGTAAATTGTAAATTATAAATTTTAATAGCCGGAGAGCCACTGAAATTCTTTAGTAAAAAATTATGACATACTTATGCGTCTGTCTTTCTAATGGCCTATTTCTTGTTCTATAGATGATTTACTTTCAGGTCAAATCTAGGATGCTTAAAAATATATGGCCTTTCAATTGAATGCCTTTTATTTTACTACGAATTGTAATTACTTTGTAAATTTTTAATTTTAAGGTGCCCCTTTGTAGGCTACGATGCTTGCTTCTGATTTCGGCTAGTTCTTTGTCACATTTCTTTCTAGACCACTTATTTGAGGTAATGCTCTTTCGCAAACATTGTTGTGAATAACTGCATCTTGTAGACTTATAGTACGAAGTGATGAAAGTTAAAAAATAAAGCTAATACTTGGGTAGCAGAACATTGTTTAGTGGTCCGATGCAATTTATATTAGAATTGTTTCCTCTACCGGGTTCTTGTTTGAAGATTTTTCCTGCTGTCAGCGTTGTGTATCATGAGAAAGTTGTGAATATTGAATCTGTTGGCCTTTTGGGTTACTCTAAAAAAAATGTAGTGGAAGACACATGGTTTGTAAAATCTGTTTTCCATTCTATTTAAATAATTATAGTTGATCAGGCCATTCTTGATTCTTGCTACTAATTTTCTTTATGAGTTTGTTTAGAGATATTGGAGTATTGTTAATGTTCGTATTGGATATGAGTTCACAGGGTATGATAATACGAAGATAAAGCTTGACAAAGACAATTTATCACTTTGAAGTACTTTGCTTGGTTTTGTATAATTTTGTTGCGTGTATAGTAGTTATCCTACTCAATTCTGATTAAGGTTTTTTTTTTTTGGTTTATTCTCCTGTTTTATTATCTATATATAAAAAGAGCATTAGGATCTTTGATTATGTATACATGGCTAACTTTAATTTCAATTGATTTTGGCAAGCTTAAATTGACAAATGTACATAATGAAGCTTGGAAACAGTGACAAGATATATAAACAATAAAAAACAATCTCAGATCGATGTCAAAATGTGACTTCTTTAAGCTTTTGTGCTACTGCAATGTTGGGATGTTTATGTTGGTTGTTATATTGCTTTTGATAACTATAGGACATCTAGTGCTCTAAATTTGTCTTTATTTTGATCCAAACACCCAATTTTGTTGGTAAAAAATGGTTACAGGGACAGTAGACTTAGTTGTTGTTCTTCTGAAGATATTGCATTCTTGAAAGTCTGTAAAATAGGGGAAATTGATGTGATAGGGAGGGGGGCTGTTTTTACTCGTTGTATGGATAGCTGGGTGCCCTGGTTTATTGTTTTTTAGATGTGTTTGGTGTGTGCCCTCCTTATTTGGCTTATGGTTGCTGTTGGTTGCCGCTTCTGATTTGGTTTTAGTGTTGGATCTGATAGTGGCAGATCAGTAGCTCTGGTTCAGGGTTCTACTTGCTTGCAACCTGTTTTGTGCCTGTTGTGTTTTTGTTTGGTTTTGGGTTGGCTGCTGCCTGTATTGGATTCAGGGTGCTGTTGTTGTGGCCTGCGGTCTAACATGAGTATTATTGTATAGTTGAATTCTCCGTGCGTTTTGAACTTTTCTCATGTTGATTGTGGCCTTGATCTAGTGTAATTTATAATTTAGTTCTATTATATTTCTATTACTTTATTCTATTTTACGTGTAGGTGCATGGGGAGCTAAATGGAGCTGAAGCATAGTAACTAGCTAGTCATTTAACAAATGGTGCATATGTGTTGGCGACTCTTACTCAAGCTCAACTTTGTGAAGATTTGGAAATTCCGGCTTATATATATGTTGAAAATTTGTATTTTGGAGGATTAAATTAATTATATAACTTTTATTTATTATTAGTAGGGTGTCATACAAAAAACAAGCAACTAATATTTTATAATGTACGTATTTAGCATTATAATTATTTTATATAAATTTAATGATATTTTGTTTCTTAGTATATTTAGATTTGTACCGACTATTTATACATATATTATATTACCGTACAATTCAAAAAAAAAAGACAAAAAAAAAAAAGGTCAAATGATCAATCCGTTGCAGTAGATATGTACTATATATCATTTGTATTAATTAGCTTCAGCCGTTGCAATAGGTGTCAATTTCATCACAATTTGTAGTAAGTAATCTATTGCAACGGATAATTTATACCGTGGCATTAGGTGTAGAGCTATCGCAACGGATTATAGCTGTCGTGGTATTAGGTGTTGTATACCGTTGCAATAGACCTACTGCAACGCCAGCAAATGCCACGGTACATGGCCGTTGCATTAGGCCTAATGCCACGGAATTTGACGCCTAATGCAACGGATTTAGGGGTTGCAATAGGTCAAAAATGTAGTAGTGAATCTTTTTCAAAACTGATTTTTATCACTTCCTTAAATTAAGGGTTTTGAAAACCGTTTTAAAACTTTCGTTTAAAACTTTCTGAGTCAATCGTCAAGTTCCTTCGGGAACTACAGGTTCCTTCAGGAACTTCGAGTTTCTTCTTAATTCCTTCCATTCCTTCCAACACTTTTGTTTCTTAAGCTCGTACACTGAGTAACTAAGTATATAGAGTTGTGAGGACATCTTGAAAGCTTGCATTCATCATCAAGTCTTCCAAACTCTGTTGTTCCTACTCCGGAACATGTATTTGTGTACCTGAATCTTTCTGTTCAACCAAGACTCATAAACATCATTAGTCAGAGTTTGTTTTATGTAAGTCAATCATCAAAATATTAAGGTAGTCAATTCAACAATAACTTACCAAAACCATATTGATTTGTGTGCTATAAAATGTCTTGGTTATGGTCTAGGGTCAATTTGAACCTTAAGGACTAAATATGAGATCAAAATTTGCAAAAAGTTAATAAAATATTAAAGATTCTGCATTTTCGACAAAATCTCCAGTGTCGGGTTTCATTTATGATATTTTTTACACCCGATGAAGAAGTTAGTGTTGTTACAACTACTAGTCAAAATTCATGCTACTACGTGCACCTTGTTAAAAGTTCAGCTGTTGAGAATAATTTTGCTAATCAAATATTATTGTATAACTTCAAACAATAAGTAAGAAATAATGAAGTATTGAAACTTTGTAAATATAAATTTGCATGTATGAGATTGGTCTCGATTACATGATAATTAGGCCTGTACAAAATATAAATTTGCAACTGATTCGAATTTTTGGATATCCATTCGATTTTTTATCGGATCCGATATCCGATCCGATAAGGCAGATATCAGATGCGATTTAGATATTGATTTTTAAAATTTCGGATATCTGATATCCAATATCCGAAATATAAAGGTTGAAATAATGAAATATATTTAAATGTTTTAAATTGTTCATATAAAACTGACCCTATATTATTAACTTATTATAATATTCTTAATATATTTGATGATAATTTTTATTGCAAAAAAACTATTATTTTGTTAAAATATGGTGTACAACTTAACCATAAAAAGCGGTAAAATTAGTGAAATTTAGAAAGTAATCCTAATCAATTTTACTTAATATTGGATAAAGGATATCCGAAGCATCCGATCCGAAAATTTCGGATATCCGATATTCGAATATCCGAAATTTTCGGATCGGATTTGAATATCAGTTTCTGATATCCGAGTATTCGAAAATATCTGATCCGAAATGTAATTTTGGATCGGATATCCAATCCACATTTCGGATCGGATATCCAATCCGTGAACAGGCGTAATGATAATTATGTACTATTTTGTTAAATATTAATCACCAAAATTAGAGTATGTGAAAGCCATAAATCTTGTTGTGCATGTTTCATTTAAAAAATCGAAAGAGATATATTATTACTTGTATATAGTTGTACTAGTACTGCTTACTAAGAAAGTATTCTACATTTTATTGGCAACTACGAGTAACATGCTAGCTACCAAGACTTATGGTTGCCCTTTTTTTGATTTTGCACATTCTTAGTGGTACGTACTAACATTTAACTGTCTATTTTATTATGTCAAAAGACTTGCAAAAATACTAGAGAAATGAACAAGAAACAATTTAGGTTATAATAATGTTTCAAAAAGGATGGCAACTTTAAGTAAAGCTAGCAATCTTTGGAAAAGGACAGGGGTCCTCTCCTTCCTCGCCGACCATGAGATCCGGTTGGCGATCTCTAGAATCTATTGTATTCTCTTCTCGTCTTTTTCTTAGCTTGTTAATCTATTAGTAACTTATTATGATTGTTGGTGTACTTTTCTTAAAGAATTGAAAATAAACAAAGATCGACCAATAATGTATGTATGTGCATAAGAAATTGACAAGTAGTTTTTGGCCTCGGGGGGAGGTCCATCTAGAAGGAAAGTCTCTCATACAGTCATACTTATTCCGTTGCTAAACCTTAGTTATCAATACCATTTGCTCTTTTGGTGATCTCTAAAATGTCTTATAGTTGATATTTTAAATTGAGTATTACATTAGTAAAACGTACTGTCTTCGATTTTTTTTAAGTGAAACATTTCTACAGAACACGTATGTCAATGCAAACATTTGACCGATAATATCTTTAATTATCGATAAGTAAAAGTTATAGCAATTGATTATTAATAAATTATTCATTAAAACAATTCCAACAAGTACCCACAAAACTATATTTTTTCTTATGTATAAATCATTAACATTAGTCAAAATAGATTAGGCCGGTGAATAGTGCAAAAAGTCATAACGTTTCACTTAAAAAAATAAAGTAAATATAAAGCATTAATTACACAGACCATTGCTTAATTTTGTCATACATTCCTAATTTGGTATCAATTAAGAAAAGACATTAATACAATGTATATTTGTAGCTTGGCATTGTAATACCATTGGATCCGTATATCATTTAGAAAAGGGCTTAACTAGAGAGTTGTTACTGGATAGATAAAGTGTTCATAGTGTAGGATCATAAGAGTGGTCAGTGAAAGAAAATTTTTGCACTACCATTAAGAAAATAAATTAGAAACATGAACGCCTTATAGATGCCAAGTTGCCAACTACCTTAATTAGTTTTGGGGTGGTATTCAAGACCTACAATCAAATTTCATCTATTGCCTTTTAGAACCTCTCTCTAGACTAAAAAGAAACATGAATATCTTAATAAACAACCTTAAGTGTGCTTTAAAAAAGAAGGGGAAAAAAAAAAAAAAAAAAAAAAAACCACCTTAAGTGGAATATCTTTAAGCAACAAATGCAATATGAAATATTTTTTTTATTACATAATAATGCATATTTTAGTGTACATTCCAAGATGCCTATATATGTTAACTTTCCAAAAAGTACTCATGTGTATGATTTAGAAAAGAAAAAAAAAAAACCGAAAAGCAACTCAACAAGTTAAAATGGGCAAGATAATTCCATTAAACGAAGATTTGGTGTGGACAATATAATTTTGTCTTTTGCATTTTTGTAATATGTGAAGCTATACAATTGTGATTTTTGAATTTAGGCATCTACGTATAATCAGTGAATCTTCCTAGCTAAATATATATATATATAAGCATTTGCAGTTGGCTTATGTCATATGAATGACATATTCCGTATTACTACATGTTTACGTCATATACAGAAGGATGGTTAGTGTTTCTCTGGTAACATTACCTATTTGTAGGTTTAGCCGTGTAAAGCCCTTGATGTATCACAGATTTGAGAGAAATAAACATATATCGATATGTGTGACCTACCATGGGTAAAGCTGTAGAGTAGTCAATTTGAGAGAAATACTAAACAACGATATTGGGTCAGGTTCAGTTGCATCGGGCTGAGTCGGGTCTAGTCTAGTTTGAATTTGAGTTATGGTAAATTATTATGTCCATACATATTAAAATTTGAATTGGGTTACTTTTGAATCAGGTCGAATTAAACTAGATCAGGTGAGTTTCGACACGTCTAACCATGGGTGCTGGGGGCAAACATTTCACAAGAGCATGTTTAATTTGACCCATAAGTTAGACGCATGCGTGGCAATTGGCCTAAATATTGTCATTGTGTGTGCTGCTTTTGCTAGTAATACTTAAAATTTTGGTTGTGTTTGCACCCTATGGAATCCAGGTCACTAGACAGGAGAATTCGATGAGTTTAGCTTTAAGCTTAATTTTACGTGTGTATGAGGATGCTAAAGTATGAATAGATCGAGTATACTCTTTTACTAGGGTAATTATCGTTGTTGTAACGAAAGACATTAATTTGTTTCTGGCTTAGACTTTATTTTCTTTTACTTTTCCTGCAAATATCATACAAAAGCCTATTGATATAGCTGAAAGAGCACCTACATTTTAGAGAAAAGCAACTCCTAATACCCCCTCCCCTCTCCTCCTAATATAGGAGAAGAAACTGAAACAACAACTTTAATTTTATCCTATATTAATATTCGAAATTGAACGATATTTGAGTAGTATCTTTAAAAATCTCAATTGCAAAATTAAAATTTTCTCCAAGAGTCCATGATAGATTACAAAGTACTCCAACAAAAAAAAAAAATCAAACACTATTTTGTCAATCAATTTGAAAAAAAAAATTATACATTACCTCTCAATATAAATCTATCTCTGTTACAATAAAAAATAATAATAAAAAAACCCTAAAATGTAATTAAAGATGTGTATAAAAATATGAAACACAAAACAGCAATCTAATAACACACAAATAATTGGACTAACTTTTTTCTCAAATCAACAACAATATCACAATTCATCAATGCAACAGTATTAATTCTAAGCT